CCAACAAACGTTAGTGTTCAAAATGGCAAAAGTTAAATTGTGCGAATAGGGCCGAGAAATTATTTATGGGAGAATATTTAATGAGACTTAAGCTTTCCATAACCATTATAACTTTTTTGCACTTTTTGCTACTTTGCTATTCATGTCTAATGCGAGCCATGTAAGAGTTTGTTCCAGCGCATTTTGTTAGTTTTTATTATTATTTAAGAAAATATTGTCATTTATTTTAGTTCCCCAATATATATAGAAAGTTGTGTGGTTAAAAATGGCAATGCAATATAATGACTAAATAGAGAAAATTTAGTGGATATGTGGTTAATTACCTTTACTTGTGAAGCTCCCACAGAAGACAACAACGAACTTTATTAACATTTTCAATCCCTCTGCCCAATCTTCATTATTGACATCATTATTCAGCAATAAAATGTTTTCTACTTTAATTATACAATTATACAAATTGCCTGACATTACCATCTCCAAACTCACTTTCTTTAAAAATATTGTCCAAATCAATTGCCATTTCAAAATTCTAAACTTAGATTTGAGACTCGTACTACCCTGTTTTATGAAAGTTTACAAAATTCTTAATTTTTCTCTTCGTCATATTTGATGTGCCGTTTTTAATTTTTGAAATCTGACTTCAGATTCGTATTAAGCGACGCCGAAAGCCTTTGCATGCCATATTTTATTAAAGCGCATTGATTTCTTAATTTTTGTGTTCGCCATATTGGATCCACCATTTTGAATTTTTAAAATCTGACTTCAGATTCGTAATCAGCGACGTCAAACACATATATGTATGTAGAATCAAAGTGGTGTAAAATTGTGTCAACACGTCTTTGAGCAAATAGTTTTGTCCACCTAAATTTGGATTTTCGGACCACTGTGTGCCTGAAATATGTATCCTAAATGTTAATCCAAGCAACAAGCTATCAACGTGCCAAATCTCAAGCAAATCTGACCATAAATACGGGCCCTGGTGCAACTACCAGAATCAAGTAAATTTTTGGTTGCTAAAAGCTGTACGCGAGATTACCTCTTACATATAAAAGGACTTCTCTTTATATAAGTAATTAGTATAGAACAGATATAGATTAACATAAGTACCAGGTGGATTTTAAGCGGTATTCTTTTAAATGACATTGCCGCTTAAGTACCGCAAAAAAATTATATATTTGGCCTTGGCATTTTACCGGGCTTGACTGTAGTTAAAAAATGCACTTTACATAGCGATCTAGTTCAAATGCATTAAAATATCAGTTTAATAGTCACAACACTCTACTGCCCGTCTCCATAAAAACTTTAAATATTCCATTCAATACGTTTTAATGTTTAAACACTCTTCTACTGTAACGCGAAACAAAGGAGCCTGATTTATTAATAAATTTATATGTATGCATGTACGTACTTATTATACTTACGCATAGATTAACCTTCATGAGATTGACTTTTTAGACGTACATACATACACACATATACAGATACGAATTTATCCCAGTGGGAATTAGGAGCACGTAATAATACCTTACTAGCAACTTACTCTTCACCTGGCAGTCATTACCATTTCCCTGCCGAACGTCCCTTACTTTTACAAAGGCATGGCCGCCTTATGTAAGTAGGAATTTAGAATGTACATTTGGTATCAGACATACTTCTGAGCCGCTTTACAAAGTAAGTTACGTGTAATGCAGAGCAGTCGCTCGGAGTAGTTCGGTGCTTGGAAATAACTTCGGCTGCACGTTATTTTGCAACTGACAACGTAATGTGTCTTCGGAGGTGTTCATTTTGCCCTTTACTAGTAGATGACATTGGCCATGATGACAATTAACTACTATTACTAACTGACTAAAAACTGAAAGAAAACATGGCTTACCTCGCAAGGTGCTTACCTATTTTCCCAGTGGGATATTGAAGAATCCCATGGGAAAGAGGTGGGCTATAAAAGCCGTTCTTTTTTATTTACGATTTCAATGAGTCTACGAGTATACAAAAGTGAATACCATTTTAACTCTTCGATATACAATCCAGGCGGGTAGTAAATATTGTAAATTGAAAAAGAGAAAAGGCCACTTGAAACAACGACTAAATGGCTTTGACACGTTTTTTGAATTTACTGAACGCTAAGGCGTGTTTAAATACGGATTAAAAGTGAGAATTTATAGTGACGTGCGGAGAGTATTGTATGTAAATTTACATATGTACATACTATATGTAGATGAATGTATGTATTTTGTGATATGCAAACACATACAGGCAAAAAAAAGGAAATAAAAGCAACAAGAAAGCCATTAAAAGTGCGGCCAACAAACTCAGCAGCAGCTTTGTGCGACTGTTGATGCTGCTACTCAGTATGTATGCTGTTAGTGTTACTGTTGCTGTTGCTGATCCTATTGAAGTTTGCTTTTACTTTATCTCGCAGGACGACTGGTTGCGCAAAGCCGTTTCACACTTTTTTAAGTCCTTTGACGAAGTCTCCTTTTGAAATGCGCGCAATGTGAGTGATAAATCTCGAAGCGTGGTGATGCTGGAATAGCCGCGCTAGTTATGTACTTACATACACATGTGTGCACATACATATATGTATACATATTTGTACATACATATTTAGTGGGAGGCTGTGATGCATCAGAGCGAAATATATATACATACATACATATCCATATATATATATATACATATAAACTGCAAGCTATGTATTTATATATGTATGTACATATGTATGTACATATATAGGTTTCTAAATACATATGTAGATAAATACATTTGTACATACATACTTACATAGTACGTATTCAAATGGCAACCCTTTGCGCCTTGCATTATGCTTTGTCACCCACAACAAACGTTGACGGTTGACGATGTGCGATGTGCGATTGTCAACGCTTGTTTGCCTTGGCTCGGGTCGAATCCGGACCACTCCAGCAAATGTGCGTTACTTTGCAATATTTGCTTTGAGCTGAGTTCGTGCCTAGCAAGGAATATTCGACAACTTCAGTACGCGCAATTGCTTCCGCAACTTGAAAATGTTCTCATGCGCATAATGGGCGGAATGGGCGGGTAAGCTCACACATACACACACTGAGAGATTCGAAATTGCACAATGCAACCAACAAATTCTGCAGAGGCATAAATAGGTACATATGTATGTGCTTATGTAAGTATGTAAATATGTATATATGCATTCGATGCAAGCGTATTTTACATGTGTATGTATGTATGTAGGCACCTATGTAGGTAAAGCACACATTTGAAAGCCTTCAGCTGCAATAATAACAAAAGCACAAAAAGCAATAACCAACAAAAAAAAAAATTGGAGTGAACAAAAACACAGTTTGCAACTAATGTAAACAAATGAAAACAAACAGCAATACCGGCAATGGTAAAAAAAACCAACCAAAAAAAAACATCCATACAAGGCAATGGCGCGACGACTACCCAACTACAACACGGCAAAAAGGCGCAACGAATCCATAACAAAGATGCCGGTCGGTTTGCCACAGCCGGGCTCGGTTCATAATTTTTAGCAGGAAAAGCAATACAGGAAACACAAAAGCAAAGAATAGTAATTGAGGCGCTGATATGAAAAAAATATATATATATATATGTATATCAAAGCATAAATTATTAGGTACAAAGAAGGTAATTTGCCGCGCGCCACAATGCAAAACTGCAGAGTAGGAAGCGAAAAACTAGCTGGCAAAAAGCTGCTGCATTGCGAGTGAATATCACATAAAATACTAGCATACAATGTATACAAATAAACATTGAACCCGCGTGGCACGAAACTTCAAAAATGTTTGCTGGCAATGAAGTAGGGTAATTGGCTTGCCTTGGCGGCGGGTGTTGCGCTCGGTCGTCTGAAAAATGCGCGCGTTATATTTTTTTATAAGCCAATTTGCTTAAAAGTAAAAGCTGGGCATAAATTTTTCCTCTTTTAAAAGTTGAAAAGGAAATGACCAGAGTTCGAAATATACTATTTAAACTGAGTAAGTATCGCTACTTGCTTAGGTACGTTAGTGGGCTTGTTCGACCTGCAATCACAATCGCAGTGTTGCGCGAATTATTAAACAACAAAAAAATTTCAAAACGCATGAAGAAACAAAAATAATCACGAAACTATGAGCCAAATATATTGAAACTGTGTTTTCAGTTTTCCTCTCTAACGTCAGGACTTTTTAAAAGGACTTTGTAATCTCAAATATATGATTACTTCCAAAAATTATTTAAAAAATTCAGTGCACTGTAGAAAAACAGCATGGCTACCAAATGAAAGAAAAAATTCGGCAGAATTGAAAAAAAATAAAAAATTTGGTTCAAGAGAACGAATAGGTGTTGCAAATGGCCTGTTATTTAATTTTATTTTTCTTAAGCTAATAAAGCTTGAAGCACAAAATTCGCGGATATGGTCGAGTGTAGATTAGGCTTTAACATATAATTTTTTTTTTTAATTTTGCAAAATTTTAAGGATTTTCAAGGGTAAAATTTTAAAAGGACATTTTCAATACCTTTTAGAATGCTTTTATTCTGCAGAATTTTCTGTTTAATTTGGCACCCGTACTGTTTTCATGTATTGCACTACTGATAAAGAAGAGATGTGTTCGAGTGCGAGTCGCGAGAAGTCTAGATGGATAAATGTGCATTTGGTTTGGTACAACTGCATGGGGGAAAAAATTCCTGGAAAATTTATATAGCGAGTCATCTTTACGTACCGAATGTACTTTCAAATTTTAAAAGAGCTGAAAAAAGTACAATTGCACCTACTTTTCCACTACTGGTCTTTGGGAATAGGAATAAATCATCCGCTGAACCAGGCCGACTATACAAATATAGTCTATACGATAGCCGAATATCAAAAAAGGAACAGAGAACGCTGCCTAATTACTTCAACTTGTTTACTGCGCCATGAGTTTGGCCCAACTTTTAACCTATGAAAGAAATCTTGAGACTGATGCAATCAAGTTAAAGTAAATATGCAAATATATAGAATGAAAATAATGTTTTTCAGTATACATATTTCTGATAAGCTTCAAATAAAAACACTTCAGCACACGTTTATAGATTTAACAGCTGGTTTCCACTTCAGTTGAACTTTCCCCGTCTTCGCCTATACGCCCATTAGTTGATTGCGTGGTATTGTCCATCCAACGCATTGTGCGAAACTCCTCGCCACAACGTACCGTCACATCAAATCTGATCTGACTATAATTTTCTTCCAGATCTCTCAAAGCCTCATTCCACAATTTAAGCTTACACTTCCGTGTACTCACAGGTATAAGCTCATCTCGCAAATGATTCACAATCACTTCATGTTCGCTAACACTGTCACTATCAGAAGCACGCTGCTGCAGCTCCTCAACAATGCTTTGAATCAGATTTTGCACATCTCGGCGGTGTTGTTCTTGAATGCCACGCATATAGCGGTACAAAAGGTACAGCATCAACACCACACACATAAGAAGGGTCACATTGCCAACGAAACTCAGCAGCCGATGTGCCTTAAGCAATACTAAACACTTAATAGGTAAATGCAGCTGCTTCAGAATAAAAAATGTATTTTCGTCAGAGAGTATCTTGTCTACTCCATTGAAAATTGTTGGCGTTCCTCTGTGATCGACCATATCGAGCTTCCATTGCGGATTGCAAGTAATTAGATATTGCGCATCTTTGATGTTTCGCACATCGACCGTGTGACCCTCTTCTAGCATTGATCTTACGAACTCGGTCACAGTCATAGCTTCCGGTTGTGTCTGATCGTAACAATAATGGCGTTCGGTGCGACTACGTAGCTGCTTAATCAGATTCCGCACGATTGCCAAAGCTGGTTCTAGACGTTCTTTTTCAATGCATACAAAAGGTGGCCGTAGCAAAGGACCCGCTGGATCTTTTGTATCGCAGGTTACGTAGTGAGTATTACCTTCGTTTATATATTTCGCCATATCAGTAGTTTTTGTCATATATATAAATGCGATGTAGATGAAAAAAATCGTAAAGCCCCACCAAACACAGTTGGTATAGTTTTCTTGCAAACCCAAAACTCTCCAAATCATAGAGAAATAATCACTCGGACTGTCAGTACTTGAAGTGGAAACTGGTTCGTTTGATGACATGGCACGAATTCTTCTGTTTTGACTATGTAAGGAGTTCGAAATTGTTTGGTGTAATTGATCTTCCCTCCGAATATCGTCTCCATCGCTCACGGATTGTTCCGAAGCTGCGAATGTTGTGGCGTCTCTAATTCGTGACTCAGCGCCTATGCTGTGGCGACTCCAGTCATTTGCTTGGGCAACAAAGTTTTCCAGTTCTTGCCTGGCTCGTAATGTCACACAGTTATTTGTTAAAAGTTTCCGACTTTTCAAATTTTTCAGATGGTTTTGAAGTTTTTTTACCAAAAAACCACGGCTAGTTTCCGTTATGGGGACATTTGGGAAATCGTATTCAAGCAGCTTCCGATGCAGTTCAACATCAGTGAGTTCCTCCAAATTTTTGAGAGACATTAGTACTTAAAATAAATTTGTTTAAGGTTTTTAGCCATTCAAAACTCATAAATGCGATTTATTATAATTTTTATGTTTTATTTTTATTTTCTTATGTGCTTGTTCTCACACTGCAAAACCAAACTCGATTCATAAAATCAGATAGACTTTTCATTGGTTATGTAGTTGGCTCCTGAGAAATTTTTTAATTTACGGTGAGTGGGATTACAGGGGTCTCCAAATGTCACAATAAAGGTATTCAGTCTATGCATATGGGCATTTCCTGCGTTACAGACGTTCCATCCTGGCGCACTCTTTTCTGTATAAAAAGTATAGTAGGTTTTGAATCAGAAATTTGTCTTTTGTCATGAACAGCCTTCGTAGTCATCTATCCAACGCAGTTAAAAGTAGGAGCTTAAAAGATACGGCCTCTTGTAAAAAACTTTAGTACTATACGCTATAATTCCGCGTCTTTACAATATTCATTCATAACGTCGACCTTATCATTTTTGACAAAGGTACTTATTGGACAAAGCCTTTAAAACTTCCCGATTACGTACAAATTATTTGGGTAGCGCCTGCTCTACGTTTTTGAGAATTTAACATAACTATTGCCTAGTCCTACACTTTTCTAAATTATTAGGTACTTTTGCCTTATTATACTTCTATAGGAACACCTTCTTCTACGTGAAAGTCTTTTTATTTAATGTTTCTTTTATAAATATTTTCTCTTTTTGAATGCCTTCCACTTTCTCATAATAATCTTCAAGGAGAATATTTTTCCGTTCGGGCGTTCCTAGCTTCAATTTAAAAAGAGCAACCAAGACTGACTTAAAAAAAACAACTTAAAAGCTTTTTTTTTTATGTATGAAGTTGAGAAAGCCCTATCTCAGAATATGATTGAAGAACGTCGTATATCAGCTGCCGATTCAAAAACGCCCTATCTCAGCACATTTTGAATCTATTTTCAGCTGAGATAGGGCATTTTTGAACCGAATTCTGAGATAGGGCCTTTTTGCAACCAAGTGCTGAGATAGGGTGTTTTTTTAATTCTGAAATAGGGCATCCTTAAAAGTTTTCTGAGATAGGGCGTTTTCGAACAAGCTGCCGAGATTGGTCGATCGTACCTACACTCAGGTGTCAATATACGTGGGACTGATTTTATACTAGGTTCCTGTGTAGGTGATTATTTTCCTGTTGCTTATATAGGTTAATAGTAGATGAATTTCGCAAGTTATAAATACTCAACCCAACAAAAAAAGTCTTAGACGGTCAGCTTTGCGCACTAAAAAGTAAAATTTACTAAAAACTGCAATATTCACATTTATTTTTTAAATTTACATTCGTTTTTTAGAGTGTATGTTTACGCGCCGAATATGTAAATTTAAACTTCTTGGCTTATTATTATTTATTTTGTAAATGCTCGGGCCAATTATTTGCAAAATGGGACTCTTTAGACCAGTTGAACTATACGTCAGGAAACTATGAAATACATACTTCATATCAAGTCCTTAAGCTCTCAAATTTACAGGAAGTATGCACCCATACAGCGGTAAGATAGCATTGATGCATTTATAGCGTGTAAATTTGCATGAGTTTTTTTTTAGTATTCACTTACATACATATGCAAATAGTATCTACATAAAGTGAATGGTAAAACAGTAGTTGGCAATTACGCTCGGGAGAGCAAGCAAAATAAACAGGCAATGCTCGAGGTGCATGCAAATCGATTCGCTTTTATTTATAGCTGCATTTATGCGGAAACGAATTGCTGAATGTATACAGCATTTCATTTTTTTCCATAAATGATGCCCGCACTTCATATTGTTCAACCCTGTTGTTTTTTTTTGGGCGCGCAAGTTTTTGTTTCGTTTCGGTTTTGTTTTGCACAATGAAAAATGTAAAGTCATCAAGGTAATTGGCGCATTCTGCAGCCAAGCCGACCAAACAAAGGCAAGAAAAAAAAAAGTGAGGAAAAATATGGAAATGCCGAAATGCAGTGGGCAACTTACTAAAGCATAAATGCAGCTGGCGCACGATAACCCACTGGCAGTGCATTTTTCTCGAATGTTGACTGTTTGGTTGTTTTTTATTTTTTGTTTTTATTTATATGAAGTTTGTTTTCATACGATTTGCACGGTGGTATGTATGTATGTATGTGCCTAGTACTTCACGTGCCATATGAACCGTTAAATTTTTCATTTATCACTGCGCAAAAAAGTCCATTACAAGGAATTAAACAAGGGGTTTACCGTGAGTCGCATACACAGCATACAAATCGGTAAATCAGTGAATCGGCAAGCAGTAACACACCTAAAAATGTTCAAGTACTCGTACTTCAGGCACAAAAACCGTACATTTGTATGCACATTGTTGGACCAGTTACTGTTATATGTATGTACAAATGTATGTACGCATATGAGTATTCCCATGCGACAATCGCAAGCTCAGAAATCACAAATCCGTATCTCAATGGACACTAAAAAAAAACCAACAAAAACAACATACATATTATTAAAGGGCGGCGAGAAGAAAAAACGCGAAACAGTAGAAAATTATTTTGACACTTCTGTTGATAGGGTGGTGTTAGCTACAATTGTTTATTTGGCTGTATGTACTATGAGTGTGTTTGTGTGGTGCAAACGATACCTCGGGCAGTTGCAATTTCAATCGCACGCTCAATGCTCAAGGGTTTCATATTACAAGGTACAATATTCGTAGTCGTATAAAGGAGAGTAGTCCCCCTCCCAACTGAAGAACGAGTATTTCTCAACAAACTAATAGGTACATATGTACATACATACATTCATATGTTTAGATATTGTAGTGTGAAATAGAGGTGATTCTGACTGCTGACACTCGCTTGTGTCTTTGGCCTCCCATAGTGTCAATGTCAATGGGCGCTGGCTGGCATATGCCTTTCGACGCGACGTCCTTATCCCGCCAGCACTGTAGCAGCAGTTGTTTATATCGGGAGTAAATTGCATGTTTTGGCTTCTGGCTGCTTGCAAACAAATATGCAATAACAACAAATGAAAAGCAGGATAAAAAAAAAAACAAAATTGAAATGTGAGTGAATGCGACTGTAATGAAACTACGTACCTACTACACATGTGCATGCGTAACTACTAACTACTACCAGTGTTGCCGCGGCGTTCAGAAGGAATGTATCATCAAAATTGTTTAAAATGGATCAAAAGTATCATGAAAAAAAATTTTAATTATCAAAGTATCAATCTTCAATAAAACTTCTAATTCTTAAGTAAAAATGGTAGCTGGAATTTTTAATTGTGATCGTTGACAGCTTTTATTAATGTTTTTTGGCTTTTATATAAAATAAAGAGTGAAAATAAAGCTTTTATACCCGGTAACAGTTGAATTCACTTGCATACTTAACTAAAATCACATATCAAATTGATGTTTAACACTGTAAACACATAAAAGTAATTTTCACAATACTTACTGGATTACTCTAAATGAAATTCTTAAGGCAGTGTTACACGATTGGTACATTTGTACAGACTTTTATGTTTTGTCAGTTACAGAGTAGTGTTGTTTGGAAATTCGTTTATTGATCTGAACTCAAATTTCTAAAGAACACCACTCTGTAACTGCCAAAATGTACAAATCTGTGCAAATGTACCAATCGTGTGACCCTGCCTTTAGCCCAGTACCACATCCGACAGCTTCAAAATCCAAAAGGAAAAGGAACGACAATATTAGCCTGTTCCCGCACTCCATGAGTGAGAAATTGTTCGCAAAATATATGATAATTGTGTGAGAGGAAACGACTTCGGACTATTTCGGATTAAATCCTAGAGTACGGGAACAGGCTAGTTGTCTGTAGCTAACATTGATGCCATATGCAGATTAAAGGTAGTATGTTCAATGAAAGGAAACAAACGTAATTTGTGGCCACAAAATCATACAAGTCTTAAGATGGGAAGAGTTACCCTCGACTTATGAATTACAATGTATCACAATTTATACTAAGCTAAAAATAAAAGTATCTTTTAAAAATTCGATGAAAAACGTATCATTTTGATCCATTTGGATCAAAACGGCAACACTGACTACTACGTGTTCAATTCAATAGTTTTGAAATCAAGAATTGAAATTTGAAGTGTACATATGCGTTTGTTGCTTCCGACTGACTGCTGGCTTCTGGCGTACCCATACTACTTACGTATACTCTATTATGCTCCATTTGCACTCATCTTATTGAATGCATAATCACATTTTTTGTGTACTACATACATATATGATTTTATTACAAAGTCAAATGAGTGTAATTTTCTATAAACGCAATGCCGTACGAAGCAGCATGTGGCACTTACTATCACAAATAATCTCATTATGGATCTGTCTACACTTCTTGAGTACTATATCCGATTGCAATTTCGTATTTCGAATATTTGTGACTATGTATTAATGTATACCATGTGTCATAATAATAAGCGCACCGCATTCAGACAAGTCTTGACAATTTATGTTTTTGTGGTTCAATTATAGTTATTTTTTTAGTAAAACTATAGTTTGTTTTAACAAAAACTTTATAAATCTAGGTTTCAAACTTTGTGCAATATTTGAAAAAAAAAAATCAAAAATGTTTCATAAAAATGTCCAGCTTTTTAATTGGATTTTTTAGAATGATTTTGAGTATGCAGTTTTGTAGTCCATTCATTGATCGAGCATACTTAATATTGAAGAAAATGCACAACACCGCAAACAAAAAAAATGCTAAAATATCAACGGTAAATCCTAACTATTTTAAACTTGCACTACATACTCAAAATATATCTAAGAAATCTAATTAAAAAACTCGAAACTTTTGCGAAAGTTTGTTGAATTATTTTTTAGATATTGCACAAAGTTTGAAGCTTGGATTTAAACAGTTTTTGTTGAAGAATAAACTATATTTTAATAAAAAAATAACTACAATTAAATAACAAAAAAAAAACTAAATAGTTAAATTTTGTCAATATGCGGTGTGCTTATAATTATGGCACGCGGTGTTACATGTACAGTATTTATAAGTATACCAGTATTCTTGTGAATACT